GTGACCCCTCTCTTGACGTAACATCAGTCGAAATATTTTGAAAACTAAGCAAGATATAAACAATCTGTAATAGAGTTTAATATATAGTTTTAAGAGTTCTTTCAAATGAACTAAACTAATTTTTTATTGCCAGTGTCCTTTAATTAAAATGTATTTTGGCTGATGAGAAAGATTGTGACTCAATCTTTATAACCATATGAAAAACAGACTTTACGCTGACATTCTTTAAGCCTAGTTTCCATTTGGTCGTTAGTTGTTGCTGGCATGACAAGCGGTAGATGTGAAATAGTCTAATATAATAATAGTCTTTTTGTGTGATATGCAAATCAGTCTTAATGATTGCAGAGTTTTTTGTCGACACTCTATTACATCAGCCACTTGTCGTGCCAGTGACAACTAACGACCAAATGGAAACTAGGCTTTAGCGTCGTTGAATTTAATGCTTACTGGTATGAATATTAGGCCCATTTTATACGTCGAATTTTGGTTGTGTCGAATGCAATTAAGACAATATATAATGAGATGATAAACCTCATTAAGCTTCATTATCTATTATTTGAATTGCATTCGACGCGACCGAAATTCGACAGAATTTCGAGGTCAATTTTGTCAGTTATTCGACGAAACCTGTTAAATACTAATGTACTGGGTCGAATAATTCCATTTAAAACATCAACTTCTCTCAAATTAAAAAATCAGCAGCATTATAAAAATTCAACGACGTCTAAAACAAGCTTTAAACTATTGTAGCCACTATACTTAACCTCAAAGACTCGAACTGGACTCAATACCAGGGTGCTCATATACACTGTATGTAGGCACCCTGCTAAATCTTGAACCTGAACTCAATATTTAACCTGGACCCATTAATAACCTTGTCATAGTGCTATGCCAACAAAGCGTTTCGATGTAACTCACCATGCACAGCAGCGCTTATGAAATAAATTACTTAATTTTCATGATGTGTTTCTTTGATTGTGCGGCCTTCTTTGCCGAGGCCTGTTTAGAATATGGTCTGTTGCCTACAGATGACAGTTCTGTGAGTATCCTTTTGAGTCAAACCTCAAAAGGTGGTCTGGTGTGACATGATGTTACAGCACTTACATTTCTACTTCGGCGGCGATATTTGGGTCATCTATGCAACTGCTTGCAGGAGAATTATATGTTGTATATATGTCTGATTCTTCAGAAAAATATTCACTCTGATCTAATATAGGACACCTAGAATGGCAGAAATAAAGCAATAATCCATTAACCCGGGTCTGAAATTTGCACTATCCCAATACCCACAGGATACCAAAAATTTGTTCTTGGATACCAAAAATATAGACGATAGCATATAGATGTTTGTTGAAGGATTATGTGCATTTTAGGGGCTGTTTACATAAGCCCGACTAGCCGGGATGAGACGTTTGCCTGGCTGAAATGTATGCTGATGAAAATTGGCAGGGAAAACTTGTTTACGAGTTAACAGTGTAACGTCCGTCACAGAAGTCGAATTTGTGCTTTATTGGCAAATTTAATCGATTAAAACTACTTTGTAGGCATGATTAATTGAAGAAATAAAACTTTATCAAGAAAAATATCAGTTTCCATCTTTTATTTTTGTTTTAAATGAAGTTTTTGTTCTAGCCCGGTTGCACGGGTTGGATACTTTACATGGAGAAATTTCATCCCGGCTGACCGGGCACCCCGTTTGAGTCAAGTGGGATCCTAGCTAAACGGGCTGGCCCGGTTGTCATGTAAAGTAAAATTGTTTTGTGTTGGAAATTACTATGAAGCCGGGCGCCCCATTTAAGCAGGCCAGCCCTGCAAACCGGGCTCATGTACATGTAAACAGCCCCCTTAGTGTATCAATGAATTGTTTAGTTGTTGACTCTTGATTCTCCTGTTGTTACTGTAATTTGTAACAGTGATAGTTACGCAAACCATTGAGTCGCATTGTGCCCTGATGCACCCTACTTTATTATTTTACTCGGTCCAATGCCAGACGATTTTACTCATCGGGGGGACAGCTTCAGCCCTTGAAAATCGTCAAAAAAATGCTGACCTAAATCTGACCTAGGTCGCACGTCTCAGCATTTTCTAAAATCTGTTCCACGTCTTGGAGGACAAGTAATCACACATTTACGAATCATTAAAATTGGAATATAACTGGAATATTACCTCCAGCTGGAAAAATTCAATTTTAAGCCTAATTTCATCGATGCCTTGATCTAGGGATGAGCCGATTAATCAGTAAATAATCGACAAAGCCGATTAATCGGCCATTTTTTAAATAATCGGTAATCGGCCGATTAGTGCCTGATAATCGGCCATAAGACTTTTTCTGCAGCTGCCAAGCACATGCTAAAATACTGAATAGAAGCAAATAGATTTTCACATTTTGTTGCAAAACCCGCATCTTTTGTCTCACACGAATCCATGGCTTTGGGACAAAATCAGTTAACACCAACGCATTCCTATACGTTGAGTTTCTGTGGTCGAGTCATACCATATTCTGTTTTCTGATTGGCTTAAACGAATCGTGCATGATATTTCTAATAAAATGCATATATTAGTAGCGCGTGTTCAGTGAGGCTGGGATATTTCCACCAAATAATGCAGCAGACCAGCTCCGCATTAAAGCTGACAATATCCTGTTTTTACACCATAATCTGCCAAAACTAAACTTTGACTGTTGACATGCGAGATTGAAGCTGATTTAGTGTGTATGGTAAACAATAAAACTGCATTTACAACTTCATTGTTGGTCATCTTGTGATTTTTTTCTTGCTTTTTAAAATAATCGGCAGGTACCGATTAATCGGCCGATTAGTTATGATAATCGGCTTATAAATAATCGGCCTCAGTAATCGGCAATTTTCCTTATCGGCTCATCCCTACCATGATCTTCAGACACCTAAATTATATATATACAATACCCGTCAATTTTTAAACCTTACACCGAAGTGTGTTCAGTTAATCGAACTACGAATCGAATTCTATAATCGCTGACTTTTTAACAGCTATCAGAACAAAAACATTCTTACTTTGGCTGAATTAAGGTCGGCAACCTGGGAGGTTGATAGGTCGGCATTTAGGTCGCCATTGCCGAATGCCGACCTCGTTTTCGACGGCTGGAGCTTTGGCGCCTACTGTCAATGCAATGGAAATGCTGATAAAATATTGCACTAATTCATTTCCTCAAGTTTATCAATTCATACGAATTCAAATTTCTTTTTACTTCCTGTGCATTTCCTATTGGTCAATCGGTTCTGAAACAAAATCTAATTGGCTCATCTAAATGTAACAGGAAGTTGATCAATTTTCTATCAAATGAATTGATCAACTTGAGGAAAGGAATTGGTGCAATCACAGTTAATCAACACTTCCATTGCATCGACAGTAATGGGTTAAATAAATAAATTGTTGTGATATGTTTGCCATCTAAACCGAGCCTAAGGTAAAGCAAGATAAAAACGATTATCAGTTCATGCCCATTTTCCAGATGATCTTGATACGCGGAAAAGTACTGGCACTAGTTGTCAAATAGAAATCCATTTTATGATTAAAACAACTGAATATCTCCTGTAATATACTTTATTTCGATTCCATATTTTTGTCAGAGTTAGAGTTCTCATAACCAAACATAATTACAAAATTTCAACTAGTTTCATAAAGAATAACGAAAGATATAATTGACTGAACACATCAATGGATTTCTATTCGGACAACCCTTTCTGAGCGCTGATTGGCTAAAATACGAACACGAGATCACCTGGTTGTGACGAGGTATGGTGGACCTTTATTTAGCCAATGAACCAACCATAACATGGCAGGAAATTGATTACATTTTAATCTATTAAAAATTCGACCTTGATCAAAAACAATCTAGATGCTATTTATATGTTAAAGCATCATTGATCAGACATTTAATAAACTGCTGCTTATAAAAGATTCATCAATTTTTTGAAATGAAGACAATAATGTCAGAAAATCCTTAAAATCTTTTATCTCTTTGAATTCGAGAACACGTCAACATATAAATCTATAGTAAACGAAACGAAATCATTTTGCCTTTAAAAACACTTTATAGCGATTCAATACTTGATGAAAACTTTTAAAACGCGGCTCCTTCGAGGAATATACAAATTTACAAGGCATTTTATACAAACTAGCCACAAAACAGACAAAGACACGGACGATAAGCGACGCTAATCGCCTTCTATCTGGTGGTACACGTGAAAATATAGCCGTGTTAAAATATGACAAAGTTATGAAAGAAAACGGTTTAAATTTTCACTAAAATCTCACCGTTCCACGGCGCCCACATCTTCTAACAACGCTAACATATCACTGTAGTAAAATCTCTGTGAAATTCTTTTAAATTTCGACCATAAAAGATGAAATATTGAACAAAAATAATTTCTTCAAGTCTTCCTCTGAGATTTTTTTACAACTTCGAGCCCATGCCCCACTCTACCCACGTGGCATTTTTCCGATCGTGATTGCGCAACCGGGATTGCTACCCGGGTGAAATTCTCCCAGTACGAATTTTGTACCCGGGAACTAGGTAGGTAAAAAGGTCCGGTCTTTAATAACCTTACGTCACAAATGAGAACAATGAAAAATAATGTAACAATCTACTCACTGTGAATTGTGACTGGATGACATGGAGAACAGTGGGATTTTCAAAACAATGAAACTAAAAGACAATGGAACATTCTGATCACTGAATCATGACTGGTAGCATGGAAAACGGTGAAATAATATGATAATTTTCTAAATTGTTTGCAAAAATAGACGCATCGTATCTTTTGGAATATATTTTCGAGTTTTCCCGTTCATTTTGGAGCTTTTTTAAAGCGCTTTTTTAGTTACTATCAGATTTTATTATAATGACGTAATAACAGCGAAAAAAACGCAATCCAGTTGTCGGAAGAGTCGGAAAAGGTCGTTCCCATTAGATCACGAGAAAATGACGACGCGTTTTTCACGCAGTTTGGAATAATTAAATAAATTAACTTACGTTGTACTGTTGTTGTTTTGTTTTGTAAGCCGGTCAAAAGTGAAAATAATACGAGGTTTTTGACGTTTTCTTGGTCGATTGAAGAATGAGCCAAAGCTATAAATGTTTTAAAGAAAGGAAGTCTTTCGGTAAGTCAATTTATCGATTTTCTCAGCTGTCAATATGCTGTTAGATTCTAAATTATTGTCGCTTTTTCGACCGATTTCTTAAAAATTTGTGAAAACGCAGATCAAATTTCGGTTCAAATGATGTAATAATATCTTGTCTTTTAGCGGCAAGAAAACGTGATTCTGAAGGAATCACGAAGCAGTATCCAGACAAAATACCAGTGAGTATTAAATTTATTTTAACGGTGTGTAAAATGACATGATTTTGACAAAAATATATATGTATACATCTTGCATTGTTTACGTTTTTGCTGGCCTGTGATGTTTCGATTATTAAAAGACAATATAAATTTATGTAATCTATTGTTGCTTCACAATGCTGTATATTACATGAATATACGAAGCCTTTTGGGTCCTTTTAAAAACTTGCCTTTCAGAAAAGCGTGAACAAGGCTATATTTCATTTTGGATTCTAATTTTCAATTTTATATCATAATACCGACATTTACGTACGTGTAGTAATCAATTATGTCATAGTTGTAGCAATGTATTAACTAGTTATTAGATGTTATTAAATATTAAGTAATACTATTCTATTGTTGGATAAAGATCTAGTTCTTGTATTATGGTATAACTCCGCCAACTTGAACTAAATTTAATTTCGCCTGAGTTTGACCCTTGATTTTTCCAGTAATTTACTCCAGTTAACTTGAAATCACTTAACTGGAACAAATTTAATTTTCCCCTTATTCACTTTCCCATTATGACTTATTTATCATTTAGTATAATAAACGAAATCTGGCAAAGACCCTGTTCTTGAACCCCTGCTAACTTGAACCCCTGCTAACTGAAACAATTTTTTGAACAATTATTGTATTATAATAATAAATCTATGAAGCATATTTTGAATTTTAAAATAATATTTTGTAACTCAATGACCCAAATGACTATCAACATACAATCTCAAACTCAATAATTCATGAGTAAATTAGCGAACCATGTTGCCTTATTTTGCCCACATGTAATACTGGATACCTGAGGCCAGTTGTTCAAAGCTGGGTTAGCTTAACCCTAGGTTAACCTAATATTCGAAGCAAACTTCCTGACAGCTTGTCTATAAATTTGGAAATATTTCTTCAGAGATCTTGTCTAGATCGATGGGAGTTCACTTCTCTGACGTTGTGAGATAAACAGACGTGCAGAACTACACAAACCAAAACAGCAGGTTAAATTTTAACCCTGCAGGGTTAGCGCTAACCCACCTTTGAACAACCGGCCCCTGGTGAAGTAAATAGTTAATTCAGTCCTTGGACTGGATCCAAATTAATTAAGTAGTGATTTATTCGCATGAGATGTCATTTCGAATCCTCCAAATCGGACTGGACTAGATTTTAAGTCCTCACATTTTGATCCAGTCCTAGGCTTCGCCTCGGACTTGATCAATTTTCGCGGACTTGAAATCTAGTCCAGTCCTCATAGTCAGATTTGAAATATTACGACATATTAATTCAAAGTTATTAGTGTTATTAATGTATATAGTAAGCATACTAGAGTAAGCACTCTCCAGACTCTTGACGAGTAAAATTGTCTGATGTTAGACAGAGTAAAATAGTATAATAGGGCACATCAGGGTACAATGCCATTAAGATTGATGTTCAGGATGCATGGTCCAATAGTTTGATTAACCCATTGAGTAGCAGAACTCCCCCTTAATGAGTAAAATTGTCTGTCATTAGACAGAGTAATATAATAAAGGGCACATCAGCCATGGATTTCCACTTAAAGAGTTAATCATACAGGGCCTGAAATTTGCAGTATGCCGATATCCATGGGATACTAAAGTTTGGTTTTGGATAACCAAACTGTGTTCAATGACAGCCTCCTGATAGCTTGGGCCATTCCATTAAATATAGGCATTATTGAGGGTCCCTTCATAATCTCCTTAGGATATAAAAATTTTAGAACCCCCTTGGATGCAATTTTTGGAAGTTACCCCATGGATATCTTTATACCCCTTTAGGATATCGTTTAAAATTGCCCCCTTGGATATCACTAAAACCCCTAATTTTTGCTATTTTTTTTGAAAATTTCTTAAGCTACCCTCTAGGAAAATTTAAGGTAAAAGCCCCCTCCCCCCCATAGGATATACAGACCCCTCAATAGGGGGGAGGGGGGGTTGCCTATATTAAATGGAATGGCCCCTTTTGAATACTATACTATGAATTTGCCACCCAAGCCTTTCTTTGTATTATGTGAATTTTTGTGTATTAATGATTTGTTTAGACTCTAGGTGTTCACTGTTGAATCTCCTGTTGTCATTGTTATATGTAACAGTGAGAGTTATTGGATGGGACAGGATATACTACTTTTGGTAATCAGTATCCAGATTAATATAAGATTAGCCGCACTCAACTCAGAGTTATACGAATTTTCTACTAAAATTTTCTAGTATGAGTCAGGTGAATATGTTGGGATTCTATAAATTTCATACCCTGAATTTAATCATTTTGCAGGTGATTGTTGAGAGGTATGGATCAGAAAAAAGCTTGCCAATTCTGGACAAAATTAAATACTTGGTCCCTGCTGATCTGACCATGAGCAATCTGGCAAGCATTATAAGGTGGGTAATTACTCTGCTGTAATAAAAGGAAAAATGAATCTAAGCTAAAAAAATTTAGAACCACTGAGTATTTTAACAAAATTCCTAAAAAGTGTAACAGTTTAATAGCGAACGTTTCGTTGTTTACAATACTTGTAGCATCTTCAGAGCAATCTAAATGAATTTACAGGGTATGGTATAATATTTACAAAATAATGGTTTAATATTACAAAAACGGTTACTTAAGTTTGAAAGAACAAATGAATAGAAAGAAAGGAAAACAACTTATCAGTAACTAGTTAATAAGTAAAGATTAATGTTAAGTCAGGGGTCGAAATTTAATTTTTTTGTACTATACAGCCGGAATAGTACTGTAGATTTTTATATTTACTATTCCGTCTGAAGATCCACTATTCCTTAATGTACTGTTTCTGATTTTCATAAAATCATCCTTGAGACTCCTAAAGTGAACTGAATAATTGAATAACAAAAAATAAACATGTACAGTTCATTGCTCTGTACAGTGATGAACAAATTATTAAATAATAATAAAAACCAAAGTTCAAACGCTGAAATGAACTTACGAACTTTGTTGCGAAGTTCGCGCCCAATTTCCGAACTTGGAAACGTAATTGGCAAGTTCGCAACGAACTTTGGAACCGCGCGTTGAAAAGTGACTTGAAAACGACAATAATATTGCTGCAAAGAAATTAGAATACGAAAGTATTGCAAGCGAACAAGAACTTAGCTACGAAGTGGAACAGTGGCTCAAAGTCCGGTATAAAGTGATTTTTTATATAAAGATCAGGTAAACCCTTGCTTGTCGATATTCGGTACCACAATTTTTTCTATATTATACAAACGGAATACTGTGATCATGAAGTTTACTATTCCGTCATGCATTTTAGTATATTCGGAATAGCGGGAATTTCGACCCCTGTAAGTGCATGGTTAGTATAGTTAAGGTTAATATTACCCCTCAAAATAACTCAAGAGGGGTAGATCTAATATTAGCATTAAGGACAGAGTTAAGTTGAGAAATTAGTAAGCTTTCACAGATAAGAAGATCCCACTCATGCAGAAGTGCCTGATGATATGATTTTGAAATCAGAAGCGGAGACTGGGTGTTTTTGCATGTGTTTGTGAGCGAGTATACTAGACATGGTTGAGATAGAGCGTTCTTTTCCAGTCAAAAACGAGACTCCCGTATGCTCTGAGATACGTGTGTGAATGTGTGGGCGTGTTTGGCCAACATACAACATACCTGGAGATTTTATTTTTGTGGAAGTAGCCAATCTTCAAATGGAGCTAGGCTATATCAGAGGACAGGGAGGATTGCAGGCTCAGGGTTCGAGATTGGGCTATATATGCCACATTCTCGTACCCAGAGTCCGTCTTACACGCGGTCAACAGAGCATGACGAGGGGTACGAGAATGGTTTGCGCCGCAACCGCAAATCAAAATTATTCTGAACGAGAACAAAATGATTCTTGGAGTTAGCCAGTAACTCCAGGCTTAGTGATACCTAGTTTTTTCATGGTTTTTGGAGTTATACTTGGCTCCAAATGATTTTTGGAGTTAGCCAGTAACTCCTGCTTAGATACCTCGCTTTTTCATGATTTCATGATTTCATTTTGCTTTATACTTAGCTCCAAATGATTGTTGGAGCTACAATCTTTGACTTTATAGATTGGGACAGACAATATAGATTGGGACAATCTAGTTTTCACATGCATTCGGTTGCAATATACCATTTCCTGATACATATTTTCCACCCTCCCTCCCCCACCCGTTTCAATGTTGGCGCCGCGCATCCAGACATCAGATTTTTGTTGGCCCAACATTGAACTGGGGGAACGGGGGGGGGTGCTATTCCTTTCAAATTATATGAAATTACAGCAGCTGTCCCATAGTTTCTGGCAAAGATTGTAGTTAGCCAGTGACTCCACAATTCATATTTCAACTCAGTTAGTTTTGAATTACACAAGTTACTCAGGTGTACGTTTTGGTTTGGAGTTAGCCCTTTACACTTTGGAGGTATAGCGTCACTCCATTGCTTCCTACTTTCTGAAGCCATGACATACAATGCGCCACTAAATTATCTATTTGTTAACTATTTCATATATAGAAAACGGCTCCAACTGAGCCCCACCCAAGCCTTCTACTTGATGGTGAACGAACGAAACATGGTGAGCAATAGTCTCACCATTGGCGAGCTGTACAGGGAGGAAAAACACGAAGATGGATTCCTGTACATGGTATACGCCTCGCAGGAATCATTTGGTTGAAAAATTAAATCATTCTCATCCTATATCGCTCAGCAGGGTATATTACATAACATACGCTGAGATCTTATGGAAACCGAATCTCGACAGTGACCTATAGTGGCTTGTAGAACGACTTTGGTTTATAACTTGTAAAATATAAATGTGTTCACTCATGTATAGTAAATTGTATACTTGAAATATTTTAATTTTTGTTTAATTGGATTTTGTGGGATTTTACATTAATATTGAGTAAAGCAAGAGAATATATGTGTTTAAAAAATTATGTCCAGATGCAATGCTGTCGTCTCGTTTGATCAAAACGAATGCAAATTCTGGAAATATTCTAATTTTTTATTTTGACTAGCACACGTAAGGAGACGCAAGTTGTAACAAGGTTGTTGTCAAGCCGATATCATGCAGGATGTGTTCGCACTGTTTGTTCCCAGTTGGTATCATCTAGCTTGTTACAAAGTTGATGACGGTAACAGACTTGCCACAAGTTGTTCCAACAAGACTAATACAGGCTGTTCGTAACAAGTTGCCACGAGCTTGTTGTCATCAACTTGTTAACAACTTGTTACGTGCAGACGATATCAGACTTGTTGGAACAACTTGTTGCGAGCATATATTATACTAGATAGTGCATCTAATTATTCTGCAATTCAAAAATTGAAGCCGTGATTGCAGACTCAGGATATTCGCATGAAATGAGAAGATTCGTATGTTTTCTATTTCTTAAACAGGGAACTTAAACATTAAGTTAAACCTATTTCAAATACATTTTTAAACTATTCAAATGATGAAAGTTATTGCTGTTTTTTAAAAGCGTTTATTAGCGAGTGGGAAATACCAACATGACCGCCATCTATTCAAATGCATGGGGGTAACCCCTGGAATATTCTTGGCTTCAGTTTTACTTCAAAAGAGATGCGCCATCTAGTGTATATAAGATATCTATATGGTTGCGAGTCTGTTGGCCTCGCTACACACGTAAAAATGCCCAAGTTGTTACAAGTCTGCAAGCAAGTTGTTACAAATCTGTTCACAAGCTGTCGACAAGTTGTGTTCGCACTGCTTGTTCCCAGTTGTTGTAACAAGTTCGGAACAAGCTGTTAACAACTTTGATGGCATTATCAAGCTTGATGGCATTATCAGACTTGTTACAAGGTAGTTCTAACAAGTCTGATACAGTTAAAAATATGATACCTTTGATATTCAAATTAGCCGCATAGGTGTCAGTTTTTTTTACTCACCCTGTATACATGCAGTGCGCATCAAAAAAAGGTTATCGAACTTCAGCGCGCTATTGTATGATTTGTATCTGAATCGCTCTGCGTATATAAATGAGATTTTTTCATATTCGGAAAGATCAGGCTTTTAGCTGTTGAACGATGTGTTCTTCATGCCAAATGGAAAAAAATGAGCAAATACGAATCCGATAAAAATAAACCATGCATTGAAAATTAACCCCCTATACAGGGTGTCCCAAAAAAAAGTGACACTATAGAAATTATCCTATTGTTATAATTTGAATGCCCTAGCACTAAGATGATCCCACAGGTGCATAAACTTGTGCTTCTGGAATTTAAAATAAAAAAGCAAAGCGTTTATTAGTGTAATCGTTTTGCTTGACTCGGGCGTTAAAATATTTGGACATAACGAAAACGTTTTAAAATGCTTAAATGTAAATACAAGTTCATTAAATTCCCAGGGGCCGGTTGTATAAAAAAGTGATTAAAGTTAACTATGATTAAGTGCAAACGTCATCCAATAGGAAGCGCCTATTTGAGAGTTAATCACTATTTAACTACAAAATAGTGATTAAAAAAGTGATTAAGAGTTTTATACAACCGGCCCCAGGAGTGTAATCACGCGCGTTTAAGAACGGCTTAAGAACAATGAGATAATTTCTATAGTGTCACTTTTTTTTGGGACATCCTGTACAGGTACATAAAAAAACGCAACCTCGGAATTTCCTAGGAAACCACTTTGCAATTCTTAAGCATAAAAGATTTTAGGCCTCTGGGAATTGAAATCGAATTGCAAATAGGTCATATTACTGTTGTTGTACTGTACTTGTAAAATAAAAACTTATTAAGTGTCATTAAATAAATGCATAAATTTTGCTTTATGCACTCGCGTGTGTAGTAATTTTGACAGTTGTGCTATTTTAAATTCCCAGGCACCTAAAATCTTTTGTCCTTAAAAACAATGTCGATTTCTTGGGAAATTCCGAGGTTGCGTTTTTTTTATATACACCTGGCCTGTGTCATGCAGTCAAGATTTCCGTTGGAGAGCAATTTCGTTAGTAGAAATATTAGATATTAATTTAGAGGAAGAAAGCTTTTATATACCTGCAAATACCTGAAATAACGACTAGCCGTTACATGTGCGAAAATTCAGAGTCAGAGAGTGAAATGTCTCGACAGCTATCATCGCGGCCGGCCATGCATATAGAATTGCATATCAATACATCCTCACGATGAACTATAGTTATCATGGAGATTTTGCAGCGCGGTATCCTGAAAAAAGCATTGCAGAGGTGTTGGACAAACTGTATACGTGGAAACCGAGGATCGCAATCAGTGCTCGAGCCTTGATTATCAAGTTTGAAGAGAAACAACGTAACTCGAAAGAAACTAAAGAAGGTTGGTAATAAGCCATGACTGGCCAACTGCAGGTATAGCCGGGTAATATCTGTTAAAAATCAATTACAAATGAGAAACTATATTTAAACTAACCGGTATATGAAGGCCTGATTCCACGAGCGCTTTTTGTCGGCGAAATGCGAAATATTTCGTCGCCTGTTTCTTTTGAATTGCGACCACTCGAATAAATTATTTCTACTTGAGTGCTCACAATTCAAAGAAACAGGCGAAATATTTCGCATTTCGCCGACAAAAAGCGCTCGTGGAATCAGGCCTTGATTCAGTTCGACTATTAAATACAGGGTGTCCCAAAAAAACCATGAGACTGTAGAAATAATGTATTGCTAAGCCCGGCGCACTCTAGAGTCTAGTGCAAGCTGCACACGCACTTGTCATTCGTCACCAATGGACCATTTGCATATAGACTAAGTTTTGATCTAAACAAGCTTGAAAGAGCATCACAAAATTAGTAATATTCCGAAGTTTCGTTGCGAAATGTTGTAAAATGCGGATAATATAGCCCTGCGAAGTTTGCCGTTTTTCAGTCATTTTGCATTACGCGGGGGCAGAAACGTAATGAGAGCAAACTTTTTGAATTTTAGTAGCAGCTTTTTTTATTTCGGGCAACTTTTGAGCGACTTTTATGCGTTTTAGAGAGCAACTTTTTTGTTTTAGAGAGAAACGTTTTTCGATTTTATGAGCAAAATCGGTGCTTGCCTGGCATGCGTTCCATAATTTTGCTAATGACAGGCAGAACTGAAATTGGTCTGTAATTTCCTGGTAGGTTTCGTTGGCCATTTTTATAGAGAGGTATTACTCTAGCCGTTTTCCATTCGTGAGGGAAAATGGATAGGATAATAGCTTCATTGAAAATATATGTGAGTGAATCTGAAATAGCAGGTGCAGCTATTTTAATAATTTTACTGGAGATCTTATCAACGCCAGTGGCTTTGTTTCTAGAAAGACCATGTAAAAGATGGTAGACATTGCTAACAGTGACTGGCTGGAATGCACTGAATTCTGATTTAGTCTTTTCAATATATGTTTGAAAGTTCAAATTTGGAGTATCAATTTTGCTAGCTAGATCAGGGCCAATATTTGAAAAATAATTATTAAAGCCCTCTGCAATATCTTTGGTATTTGTCAAACTATTTTCACCTAATTTTAACTCATTTACTACTGTTGGTTTGCTTTGCCTACCTAGTATATCGTTTATAGTTTTCCAAGCCTCTTTAGGGTTGCATTTTTTATCAGAAATTTTAGTGGAGTAATATTTTCTTTTAGCATTTCTTAGCTGAATATTAACTTTGTTTCTCATTGTTTTGTAATTTAACCAGTCTATCTCTAGGTTTGTAATAATGGCCTTTCTTTTTAATCTGTCTCTTGTGATTATAAGTTGCTTTATAGCACTTGTAATCCAAGGAACTTTTTTTGTTCTAATATTTTTATGTTGAAGTGGTGCATGTTTATCCAAGACCTCTAAAAATAATTTCTTCCAAATTTCCCACATAGCGTTGGGATCTTCAGCGAAGAAGTATACATTTTCCCAGGGTTGTTGCCTCAGATCCTCAACAAATTTTTGATCATCAAATTTTTTCATATTTCTTATCTCAACTTTCTTCTCTTGTTTTTTAACAACAGAAATTTTCCTTATTGCAAATACCAAACTATGGTCACTTAATCCAGTATGGATAACACCAGAGTCAGAAATTTTCTCTGGTGTATTGGTGACTATATGATCAATAAGACTAGAGGTTGTCATGGTTACTCTGGTAGCTTCATCAATCAATTGTAACAATTGATACAACTCATACAATATTTTAATTTTCTTTGTTGGAGAATTCGAATCTTTGTCTGTTTTAAGCATATCACAGTTTAGATCACCCAGAATATACATTTCTTTATTTTCATCATCAATGGCTTTAATTAATTTTTCAAAATGATCAAAGAATTCAGATGATGCATTGGGTGGTCTATAAATGGTTGTAACAAGAAATGGTCGACTGAGTGGCTTAATAATTTCTACACAGACAGCCTCCAATTCAGAGGGAATTAGATCTTGTCTTATAATATAGTTGATGGAGCTACGCAAGTAGATACAAACTCCACCTCCATTTCTTGATCTGTCTTTTCTAATAATATCATAATCATTAAGGTGAATCATACCATTAGTTGCTAGTTGTTAGCTTTTCTTAACTCTTGCAACATTCCCGCGTGTTTCGATCAGGCCATCCAAACACGGAAACCATAAAGTAATTGTATAATGAGTTTTTTATCACATTTAAATGTTAAAAAGACCTGCATATAAGGAGAAATGTTTATTACATAACGGGTGTTTAGTGGAGAGAGGCGCCTATTACAAATTCTCGTCTGACTAGGAGGCAATTGGATATCCGCGACGTTAATTTATAAAGAGTAGGCGGTTATTAGATTATTAACAGCCGACTATGCGTAGCCAAACGAGCAAGAAGAACCCAGACTTTACTGTTACTACTAGGAATTAGGAAAGTAAGTGAACTTTACCGTGATGCTTATATGGAAACATTGCCAGGTCCTCTCCATTGATTGCTACTGAGCTGTCTCTTTTTAAATGTACATCAGTTGTGTTGAAATGTACAGTTACGGTCTTAGTGCACGCTTGAGAATTGTCTGTGCCACAAGGAAAGTTATCGACAATCACTAAGAATGTGTTAGCCACTGAGTCTTGAGCAAGAATGTATTTACAATGACCCATGAACGAGTAGTACTTGCCATCAAACGTTCTGTAATGTGGGTCGCCTATTGCCGAACATCTGCCTGAAAATATCAAAGGAAAATAACGTCAAAGAAAATATATGAAACCTACTGAATCGCAAACAAAAACAACAGGGGCCGGTTCTATAAAACTCTTAATCACTTTTTTAATCACTATTTTGTAGTTAAATAGTGATTAACTCTCAAATACGCGCTTCTTATTGGATGACGTTTCCACTAATTATAGTTAACTTTAATCACTTTTTAAACAACCGGCCCCTGATGATAAGACCAAGGACCTTTGCTCGAAACGTCGACGTTCTGCTTGCATTTTCAGGTAGTTTCATGTATCTCTCTCAATCCGCAGCTGTTTTTTTATCGTTCCTGCCCTGCTTGGCACAGACCGGTCGAGATAATTTATTATTCTGCTCCTAAGTTCACCAAGAACATGTGACAAATTATACAGCCGGAACATTGGCGTAAAAACAGGTATGATCTGGGCTTTTGACATTCCTTAAATCGTTTTAACTTGCGATTAGAAATTGGCCGGACAAAAAATGGAATGAACCAAGACTGTTGGTTTGGACCAGATTTTCCTGCAGTACCCAATCTTCCGGTTTCTAGTATGATTTTTTCGTTGTTCTCTGCAGTCTAATAATATGAGACTTGTTTTTCATATCTCTAGGATGGTTTTGAAACATAGAATTGAAACACTGCGCGACTTCAAAGACAAGCTCACGAAAATATTTCTTGAACTTAAATTGGATAAGACTAGCTACATGTACCAAATGAATACTCATTGACTCGATAGCTCCATGGGTAGAGCGCCGGCCTTCTACAGTAGAAGCTTAAAGATAAGAAACAAGTGTTTCATATCTCTGAGGATGGTTCTAAAATGTATCTTATGAGCTTCCAAAAAACATTCCAACATCAATAACGACTTAC